TTTGTTGTAGTTATGGGGGGTAAAGGTAGCCCTATGTTTAAAGGTTGTGTACTGGCTAAGGGGACTTGTGTACTGGCTAAGGGGACTTGGAATATTCAGTCTATGTGTTTCAGGGATCTATGTAGCAGTGGTTAGGCAAAATAAGGAACAGAATAAAATGTTGTATTTACAACGTTTTTATACTGTTTAATATATTAAAGTTCCAAATGTTTTCATTAAAAGAAATAAAACAAAAGCAAAATAATAAATTATTAAAAGTATCCAAAACATTGAGCACCATAACAATTAAACAATGCAATAACAGAGTCCCTCGCCAGGTCAGGGAAAGCTTGTGTGAACAAATGAGTTTTCAATAGTTGTTTAAAATCTGAGACTGTTCCTGCTTCTCAGATCACATATGAGAGGGAGTTTAAAAGGGAAGATGCTAGCACTAAGCACAAAATGTGTATGTACCACTACCTGGTAACATCATATTAGCTGTGGAACAACTAGTAAGGACTTTTCAAAACATCTCAGAGGCCAAGAGGGCTATGCACAGGGAAAGATGGTGACTGGTCCCAAATTGTTTGTTAGCAGCAACACTTTGAATGTGCCTCATTAGCTAATAGGCAGCTTGTGCAGCTCTATTAATATTAGTTTCATATGTAAGTGTCTAGGTTTAGGATTCTGAGCATTCTAGCTGCTGCATTTTGCATTAGTTGCACCTTCTGAACCAGGTGCAAGGACAGTCCCATGTGGACTGTACTAGACTACTTTAAATGTGACATTATCAGTGTGTGGATCACACTGTGTAGGCTATCCATATCCAGCAATGAGAATAGTTGGCTTATCAGCTTAAGTTGATAATGAATTCTCCAAACTGCTGAGGTCACCTGGACCTTTAGTGATAGAGATGGATCCAAGGACATCCCTAAACTTCATTCATTCATTCATTCATTCATTCATTCATTCATTCAGAGGGAGTACAACCCTGTCCAGAAGAGATACAAAGTCCATTATTCCAATCATTATTTGATTTTGGTTTTTTTAAATGCTGAAACCCCGACTCAGTTTGATTCTTGTAATGGCACTTTCTCCTGTCCAGATTTGGGTTTGTATGTCATGCTAAGCCACAGTGGGCTGTTGGGTGGTTGCAGTGTGGCTTGAAACTGGAGCAGGGATGCCTGAACCTAGAACAGTTTTTCTGTTGTGGCTAGTTTTGCCTAAGCAAGTCATCCTGAGAATCCATGATATGTAGTAATGTATGTATGATTGTATGAGAGAATCATAATCTGACATTTGAACTGGGTGGGGTGATTTTTTTGAGGGGGTGGTGGGTTGTTATAACAGGTAGAGAGCTGGCTGGCAAGAGCCATAAAAATCCCTACTCCTTTTCACAATTTGTTAGTACTACAAGCATTCTTTCTTATTTTCTCAGGCTCTGAATGGATGTTTTGCAAGTTTTAGAAAAACAACATTTTCACTTCTGCACAAATGTGCAAGGCCAATGATCACAGGTGGGAATTTCACACAAAACTTCCTTCCATTGGATTGCTCTGCCAATGTGTGCAAAAATCTCCTTCTTCTCTGCCATAAATTTTGTGTAATCTTTATGATTCAGCTCACTACTCTGTAACCCTCATATACACTGGGCAGTTAGCTACAGAGCTGGCAGCTGCAGAAGAGAAGGCATTTGGGGGACAGGTGTGCTGGTTGTTGCTATGTGCCATCAAGTTGTCTCCAACTTATGGCAACCTTATGAATGAAAGCCTCAAAAATGTCCTGTCCGTGAAATCCCCCCTAAGCTTTTGCAAGTTTGGGTATTTGTTCTTCCCTTTCATCTTCTGCCTTTGAACTTTCCTAACATGATTGTCTTCTCCTGTGAGTTTTGCCTTCTAATGCTGTGTCTGAAGTACGACAGGTGTGCTTATTTAGTGTAACGTGAAGCAATTTCTTCTTCTTCTTCAAGAAAAAGTGTTTGCTTACATGGGAAGCACTGAAGCAGAGGGCATTGACAAAAAAGGTGTATGAGAATGACTTGTTTTTTGTGATGTGAAGCAGTTTTCTTCTGGAAGTGCTGAAATGGAGAATGAAATTGACAGACAGGAAAGAGGAAATTGTGCTAAACTTGATAAAGGATAGGTGCTCATATAAGAACAGAGAAAAAAGTTTGCAGGAGTGTTTCTGTCTTCGTAATGGTTCAGAAAATCCTTTCCTGTTTGCAAGCACCTTTTACTTAAAAAAGATAAAAGTATAAGGAAAATTAGGGTTCATTAGGGTAAGGGACGCACTGAAATAGAGGACGCTGATGAGAGAAATAAGGGGAAGGTTGGCTAAGTAGTGGATAAGCAGACTTTGTGCAACAGTGCAAGACCCTGGAAAAATGCATTCTAGCATTCATAATGGTTCAGAAAATTACTTTTAGTTATCTGCTGCTGTGGGATGTGTGAAGTTCCTTTTATCAGCCAATAAATGCCACAGACCAAGTGGGTTGATTTAGTATGATGTTTGAACGTACCCTGTATCGTAGACTATTGTCTCTAGATGTGGATGACTGATAATGCAGGAAACCAGTATGGATTGTGAGATGTTCTAATATTTATTTCTTTGATGTTGTAGATGGATAATCTCAATGGAATTTTAGGAAGGCAAATTGAACATTGTTTAGATAGTTGAATTTAAAGTTGCTAACTCTGGGGGAGCATTTCTAAGGGGGCTGCAGGCTCCTGAGCTTCACCTCAGAAGTATTTTTAACAGGGCATTTAGTCTTATTAGTATTAGTTATTAGTTTAATATTGTTGTTATTTAACTGCTTTGATATTTTTATTGAAAAACAGGATACAAATCTGTATAATGAACAATAGTCCTGATGTTGAATGTTTTTCTATGAAGTTGGTGCATGGAGGTATGGGAGTTGCAAGCAAATTGTTTCTGGATAGAAACAAGTGCAAAAAGCTCAGCAAATGGCTCCATAGTAGGTGACTGAACATAGCAAGGCTATACGAGCAAAGAATATAAATTGTCAAAAGGTTAGATACCTGTTGGTAGGGTTAATAAAGTTTAAGCATTGTTGAACTGTTCTCAGGAAAGAGATTTTAAGTTCAAAATGGAAGTAGTGTTCCATTTTATTGTTATAATAATAATAAAATAAAAAAGTAGTGGAGGGAATTTTGTGGGAATCTCACTTCTAACATGCCAGTTTCTTTAATGTATAGACAGCTGCGAAAAATGAATGTATATAGTATTAATGGAGAAATGTATTGGCTTTGTTTGATAAGATTTGTACTCTAACTTTGGAGTAATGGAAGTTTGGGAGTTGTGGATTATGAGATGCAGGTTTTTTCTGTATGAGAACTGAATAAAACTTTAGGTTGTTGAAAGAATATTTCTCCAGGTGAGGATATTTATTTGGTGGTCAAGTAAATTGCCAGAGTCCTGGAAATGTATTATTATTACCATAGGAACACCTGGAAAAATGTCATTTGACCCTTCCTCTTATAGTTTGATAGCAGGTACTTCTTGTGTGTGTGAAGTTATGAAAAAGATGTTGAGTTGTTAGGTGTTTTCTTCACCTTTTCTGTGACTATGCTGAGTGGATTTCACAGAGGACAGAACACATTGAATAATTGTTTGTTTAGAGACTAATACTTGGAAGAGCTTTTGTATGAATGAGTATTTAAGTACATACACATAATATGGTATGGAAATTGTAGGCTATTTTTGTGAATTCATGATTTTTTTAAAAAAGATGCTCATTTTGTATTTGTGTAGGATAAATTTTATCTGGATTCTATTCAGTGATGAATGGCATCCCACAGAGATGAACCTACCTTTTAAAATATACTGATTATTTACTAACAGTTATCCCACCAGATATGGAAGTGAATTTATATGTTGATTATTGGAACTTGGTAGGAATATGATGTTGGTGGGTAAGAAATTAAATAAAGGTTTAGGTAAGCTAGAGATACTCTGGATATTTGAAGCCTTTCATTCCCAGGTGATAGGAATTGCATAATAACCATATAAATTTAGATCTACTCCAATCACTCCAGGAGTATTCTAGATGGCATGGCAGCTGATGTGAATTGTATCCCTCAATTCAAGGTAGGGAAATGGTGTAGTGTTTCTGTTAGGATTACAGAACTGATGGCTGCAGTGGTTGTGCTGAAATTGATTCATTAATCTTATCAGACTCTCTGTCCAGATTGTTAGCAATTCAAGTGATGGTTAAGGTTGTAAATTAACTTTAGTGAATGAAAATTGGTTTTGAAATTCTGAATGACATTTTTGAGACCTTTGTTCTGATTTGGATTCTTGCCCATGTCAATATTTTTTTGCTACAAGATTAGAGATTTGGCCACAGAAGAAGCCTTAATGCATGAGGCTATGGATTTTTAAAAAAATATTATTTGGTATCTTTCAAAAGTTTAAAATTGGGTTAAGCAGCAAGATAAAAAAAGAATTAGCACGGACTTGGGAGGGAGGGAGCTACTGGGATAATTTTTTTCTTGTTATTTTAAGCAAGAGTTTGATTTTTTTGCTCAACACGAGTAGATGAAATGGGTTGCTTTGAGTCCTCTCAAGATATTTATCTAGACAGTATTAATGATACATGATGGTCTTGATTTTGACAAGTGGATATCTGTAAGCTAAACAATAGATCGTGCCTTTTCTTTCGGGTTGCTTTACATACGGTGTAGAGTGAGTATCTTTCACCTGTGAGCTGCATAGTTGGTGAACTGTGATTTTAACTTTAGGAACAGTTTTCAGAATACGTTGCTTTGGGGTACAGGCTCGAAGCTTTTATGAAATTTTATCCAAGTCACTTTTTGTAAATCGTGCATCAGTAAGAGCGATTTAATTTTGACCAGTAGGTGGCGGACATGGGGTCTTCAGTGGCCTTAGTACGCCGCTAATTCCCCGCGTAAGAAGATGTACGCGCCTGCGTGCTAGAGCCGTTTCTGGCCGCGTTGGGAGGGCCTTTGCAAAACGCGCATATACGGCTTCTTCTCGGGAAGGTTCCGGAGCTTGTGCGCGCTCCTGTTGCTGGCTAGGCGCGCTCTCTTTCTGCCTGCCTCTCTTGTCACTCCCCCTCCTCCCGGCTTCGGCGAGCGAGATTTTCCAGAGAGCTCTCCCTGCAGCCGCATTAACAGACGCAGTGCCAGGTAGGGTTTCCCACAACGGTGTGATCTGTTCATAGAAGAGCAGGTACTCTGAGGGCCTTCAGTCTTTGCAAGCCTGTGGTTGTTGGACGGGAGGGGGTGCGTTAAGTGCACAGGTGCGTGCGGTTACGCAGTGAATGCGCTAGGAATGGCTGGAGGGAGAGCTGTCGTGCAGTATAATAGCTTTGGATCTGGCGGCTTCAGTGCGCAACGTAATTTGGTTTGAATGTAAGAGCAGGGAACGGTTTCGTGCTTTTTTCACATTTGCACAACCTGCGGCATTGTGGCAATTTAAACAGCTTTTTTCCTCCCATAACCACACCCCTCCCTTTTTACAAAAAGAGTCCTATTGCAAAGAAATACGTACTCGCCACCTGCGAGTGGTTTTGGCGATACATGTATTGTCGGTTCATTTGGGTTTCTTTCCATCGGGCAGCACTCAATGGAGATTTTTGCAATGCAAAATGGGGCAGTAGGGGTGTGTCTCTTAGAACCTCAATAGACTTAATTGTATGGGAAGGTAAATCTCTTTATGAATGCTTTTTACTAATTGATTTAAAATGGGCTAAAGCATTGCCTAGAAAAAAAATCTGAATTGCAATTTTCACTCATTTTCTCAATTTTAGGCATTTAAAATGTTGATCATTGATAAGAGATGAGCTTCTTTCTTCATTACTGTGTATAGATAAATTTTAAGATTCCTTCTTTTAGCTTCCTATTTTCCTCTTCTGACAGCACCCCTCCCTGCCAGGTTTCTGGCAGGTTTGGTTTCCTGTCTGGGAGATTCATTTTAATTGTGAGGGTGATGGCGAAGGAGAGGATGTTGGTACTGCAGTAGGTGTGGATGTTGGATAGAGGAAAAGGATGGGCTCTCCCCCACCCGTTCATATCGGTGGTGCCATGTTTTGCAGCCCATGTCATATTTCTAGCATTGCTTAGAGAATTATGATGGGGAAAAATAGACTGGCAGCTTAAGACAGGACAATATATTATGTAATAATCTATATTCACTCTGAAAATTAGGCATAGGAAAAAATATAGGTCATCCACCCTAAGAGATTAGTTGCTTTGTTCTACTATATGGGTCAATATGGGATTTACATTTTGGATTTTAAATTATTGGCTGTGATTGCAGAATGAGACCGGTGAAAATCCACCCCCCCCACCACCATTGGATTTAAATATATACTGGCTCACACCATACTAATAGTAACTATTCTGAGTAGAAATACAGTATACAGACAGATACTCCTGGATGTAGTTGTGGTAGAATTTTTGCACTGCTTTTTAGAGTGTTGCCTTCACACAGAGATGTTCATCATGCTGTTACTGTGGCTTCATTGTTTTTGTCTCTGTGTCTCAGATCGTTTTCTCAAAGAAAAAAAATGGATGTGAGTGTAATAGCAGCAGCTGGTCACGCCCCTGCTAGGCTAGAATACATGGATGCAAAGTGCAGTTCTCATTGGGTAAAGACTGTGGTATGCTCCTGTAGTTTTGGGTGGGGATGGAGAAGAAAAAAGCCTTTTGTCTTCTATCAGAAGTAGCAATAAAATAGGTGCTTTGCTATGATAAATACAGAACCACCTTTTATTATGGATTTTTGCTATAAATGATGTGCTCTCTATTCTTTTACTGGTGATAATGGTTAATCATAATGTGGAAATATAAACTACTACATTGGTAAATTGTACCATGGATTTATTAACAAGGATTACATAATCAAATTTTAGGAAAGGATTACTAGGATCACTTTCCTCTTTCTTTAGCCATTTAAATAATTGATGTATGGGCTTTACAGATTCATGGTTACTGACTTCCATGTTACCTAAATACTATACATTGCTGATTTAATGCTATGTGACATTCAGAAAGCTTAAAGCACTTCACATATATATTGGCAGGAATCTTAAAATTAATCAGAATGGAAGCATTATTAGCACCATGTTGTAATTGGTGACCGTAGACTAGCTTACTTAAAGATTTCTGGTGGGTTTGTTGTAGAAATGAGATCTAATGAGCAATTTCCTAGCCACTATACCAGTTCCCTACTACATTTATTAAGACTTCCTTAACCTGTCCTGTGTCATACTTCATGAACAGAAGCGTATCATATGAATAATAATAGCATACCTTCTGTGATGATACTGTTAACGTTATTGCAATGCTTTCTGTAATAAAGCTAGGGCTCTCATTATTCTCTGACACTGGAGTTACTCAAATTCTGCTTTGACCTTTCTCCTCCATTTGTCTTAGTATTTTTGCATTAAGTCTGAAGAATCTCTTTCATTTAGGATTATTTTAGCTGAAAATGCTTTATCTTATATGTTGGGATCTCTAGAACTGAAGAAAAAGCTGGACCTAACATCATCAGAGGCCCTGCTCTATATCCCACCAGCTAGAGAGGCCTTCTTGGTTGCAGCACCCTGATTGTGGAACTTTCGAAGGAGGTGATGTCTCTTTAGACAAGCAGTAAAGATTGTTCTGTTGGGCTTTCGGTGCTTCTTGATATTTTTATCAAGCTTATTAACCTCAATTTTAATCATTGCCCTTGGATTTATTTATAGATGGACTCCTGGGTTTGTTGTTCTAGGATACGTTTTTAGATGATGTAATTTACAAATGATCAAACAAACATATTATTACCCCTCAGTTTCCCTTGTGATTCATGCAGACCAGTATGTCTGAACATTCCAGTAAAGTTTTCAAGAGGCACAGACATCCTCTCCAGTGCACAGCTAAAACAGTAATCCTGTTGTGCTTATTTTGAAGCAATTACCACTGTTTTTAATGAGACTAGTAAATGTGTTGGTTAGGCTGCAATCCTAAATGTAAGAAAGCCCCATTGGCGTTAGCACAGCATATAGGAAGTATTCTCTTCAAGTGGTTTTTGTAAAGGCATGAATACCCAATGTCAGCACTGTTTTCTACCTTTTCATATAGAAGGTTTTTTTTTCTTTTGGGCCGTATTGAAGCTCTTCAGGTAGGAATTGGTCTCCTTGTATTGGTTGATCTAATAAAGATTAGCAGTGCCATGGAACAGCTTTGGGAGGCCCTGCTAGAGAGTTAATTCCCACAGAAAGATAGTTATTTTCGTAGCTTGTGCTTTGGAAATAAGGTATGTGTACTCCTCCCACTCCAATAAATTACCACCTAATCATTTTAAATTGGCTTTGTCATTATGGCACACACACACCTATATTAATATAGTCTTGTAGCTTTCTCTTATTCATTTATGTATTATATTTATATCCTACCTTTTTCCTTGCAAGGAACTCAAGGTGGCTTACACAATCTCCCCTCCGCTCAGTCTTACTCTCACAACAGCCCTGTGAGGTAGGTTGGGTTAAGAGTCATTCTTACTCAATGAATCTTGTTGAATATGCGATGATCTGGAGAGCTGCTCTTGAGTAATCTTTTTAAAGCCCATGCAAGGAGATGAAAAAGGGTACTGAAAGAAAAGAACTTCCAGTATTGAGTATCCTATAAATTATAAATGGATTCCTTGGATGTCAAACTCAGTAGTTTCTTGAAAAAAGTAATCTGAACAATGGATACCAGAACAAAGAAATCTCAACTACTTTCTTTCAAAACTGAAAAGTCTTTTTTGACATTTTAAATACACTTTATTCATCATTCCCCTTCACTAACAATAATACTAGTTTTAATAAGGAATATGTTGTCTGGGTTTTTTTTTTAACTACCTTAGTTGGTTCCAACAAGAGGATAATAAAATGCCATGAATAAAATCTCTAGAATTGTTATAGGAAATGCTCAGTCAATGGTTCTTCAATCCTGTTCTGGATATTGGCACTTAGTATTTTTCCTGATCTGTTTTTAAAACTTAACATATTACAAGGATACTTGCTACCATTCTATGGCCCCTGGGAAGTGCCTCAGAGGCCAGGGAGAGATCACTTTTTTCCACAGCCATTCCCTCTCTAACATTAGAACAGAGAAAGGAGGGAGGACGTGGGATATCTGGGCAGAGCAGAGGAATTGTTCTAAAAGCATGCAGTAGCACTGATCATTAACAGAGCAGTCCTATTACTGTGTCAGAGCACCCTGACATTCCCTAAGCCCTGACGGTGTCTAGCCAACACTGCAGAAGAGTTGTTTGGCTTGTTTGTTTGCTATTGCTTTGCATTGCAAGCAGTGGGGTTGGAGGATATTTTAGATCAATCCCAGGATTGGTCTAAATCTTTCCCCATTATGGGGGAAGCCCTTCACCATGTCCCCAGCACAGTGGGTCTAAATTATTTCCCTTGCCATTGTCTAGTCAATAAAGGGTTTGTTTGTTTATTTGAGGGTTGTCCACCTTTCAGTTAAAAAATCCAGCTTATAAATCTTGAAAATATGACAAAACAAAATTAAAATATACAAATGTATGCAAAAATGCAGCATAAAATCAATTAACCCAGCTAAGACAAAACTGGTCAAAAAATATGCTGAAGTGATTGATCTCCGAGCCCACTTCAAGGTGCTTGTATTAACATATAAAGCCCTAAATGGCTTAGGACCTTATTATCCGAAGGAACATCTCTACCCATATGTACCTACCAGTACCTTAAGATTATCTTTGGAGGTCCTTCTCTGGGAACTGCCTTTAAAGGATGTGAAGAGGGCGGCTCTTCAGGGAAGGACCTTTTCAGTAATACAGCCTTGTTTTTCAGAGAAGTATGCATCGCATAGATGCTATACATGTTCCGTCACCAGGCAAAAACATTTTCTTTGCTCAGCATTTTCGTGTTTAAGCAATATGTTATATCTACATCCAGGTCTTTGTTTTATTTCCTGGTTTTTGTTTTTATTTGTTGAGATTTTGTATTAATTTGTTTAATTTTGTTGTAAATTTAGTTATTAATTGGAACGTTTTACTGATAATTTGTTTTAATATATTGTTTTATGTCTAGATTTTATTGAGTATAAACAGTTCAGAGAGCCTGGCTGAATGAACAGTATGCACACATTTTTAAGAAATAATATTGAAGTAGGTGCAAGGTAAG